ATGTCCTGAAGAGTTTTTTATAAATAATATATTAAATATTATTTCAATAACTAAAATAAAATAGTATTATTCTCAAATTGAACTACAATAAATTATCATCATTATGAGGTTTTAAGAATCTCAAATTTATTGAATTATAATAAAAATATTACAATAATAGTGATGTTTTAATAAATTTAATAATTATTTTAAAATTTTAAAATTTATTTTTTTATAATCATTTGGAGGTAATTTACCTATTTTTAATTTTTTTTACAAAGGTTTGTCGTGATTGTGTATATAATTACAATTGAACTACAATAAATTATCATCATTATGAGGTTTAAGAATCTCAAATTTATTGAATTATAATAAAATTACAAATAATAGTGATGTTTTAATAAAATTTAATAATTATTTTAAAATTTTAAAATTTATTTTTTTTATAATCATTTGGAGGTAATTTACCTATTTTTAATTTTTTTTACAAAGGTTTGTCGGGATTGTGTATATAATTACAGCATCAGCAACTAAAGATGATTAGAGGGATCGTGATTGTGTATAAAGCAAGAAATAAAGGCAATTTCAAATTAAAAATCCTAAATAATTAATTATTTAAAGAAATAGGGTCTCCAAAATTATTTGAAAGAATAACCCCTAATCGTCCACATTGGACAACCTCGCGGCTACAAACAGTGTGTTAAATCCTCACAACCTCCAACACGCGAGATACATCCGACGTGGATGCACTTCTAGGTAAGCCAATAAAAGAATTAGAAAAAATGCCCTCATGCATTGCGAACGCGAGGTAACATTTATGATCCAAAATATCGCGAGATTTATGGCGGACCTCCCGACCTGTAAAGCGCGAGGATAATAGATTCTACCCTCCCTTTAGTGTCTATAGCCTTTTCGTATATTTTCGGGTGTGAAACGATTTTTTTAATTATAAACGCATAGTGTTGCAATTTATCTTTAAGGTGACTATAATATCATCATATAAAACATTTAAGCGGGTAAAAATGATGTTGAAATGGTTATGAATCATGGTTTTTTTGAAGGAAGAAGAGAAAAAAATGGTTTGATAGAGATATTGGAGTGTTATTTATGGCTTGTAAATATGAGTTATTTCAGAATTTATATGCTTAGAGGTATAGTATTGCAACTTATATTTATGTTCAGGTTAATATATTTTAATGGGGTAAAAATCATGTTGGAAAAAAGTAGATGCATGATTTGGTGCTGAAGAAATCAAAGAAATTGAAAACTAAGTAATATATTGTTAATTAAAAATAATAATGCAAAAAGCCCATTTAATTAATACGTGTGTCTGAGTAGTTGAGACATTGTTCTTCGTGTATCTGGGATTCTTACATATAGAGCATAAGTTCAAATGTCCGGTTCTTTCTTGATGTTCGACAAATACTCGTCACAAAAATTATGTTTGACCGTAGACGACCGGTTTTTTTCGTCGTAGTGCATAATCTGGTCGTATTATAAGTTCATCATCATCGGATCTCATTCATTTCTGATGGAGGAACTCCTATTCATAAACTTGAATATAGTTTCAAGTAAACCTGGTTAACGAATCTCATGTAGGGTATCCGAACAGAAGAAGCAGCAACAATGGTGTGTGCATAGGGTATTTAAAAGTTTGGAAGAATCTGTACTCGCATGTTTTTTTCTCGTAAATTAACCAAGTACGCGTTGTTTTGTATGCCTTCCCATGGTTTTGCAAATTCTGATACATGAAATAATGACATTTCGCCAGAGAAGCATATGGCACTCATCGTATTTGGAATGCTACTGGAATGTTTGTAATTTTTTTGATGAGGTCTGGGAGGATTCTCTAGCCACCTGCCATCCAGTCAGTTGATTTGCATTCTCAAGGTTGCAAAAAGGGTTGTCAGTCAATAATATGTCACTTTGACAAAGGACATGATAAGCAAATGGCACACTCTTTTAGTGATGAATTTATTGCCTCAACCAAGTTTGTTGGCATATAACCATATTGTTACTCCCATAAAATGATCGAAGTTATTTCTTCTTTGTGGTTCTAGCAAGGTAGTTGAAGCCCTCATAATTCATGTGTCTCAGTTCCTGCATCAGGTCCTCAAACTCACGAACGGACTGTGTGTAACATATTAATAAAAAGTTGAACAATAATTTGAAATAATTTTGTAAATATATGGTAACCAAAAAAGGGTGAAAGACATACCCATTCGAAGCACTATTAGACACTCATCTTGTCTCTTGAACTTCTGCAAATTATTGCAGCAATATGTCGTAAACAATATCGGTGATAAATAATGGGGTTACCAAGATGGATCCATACGCTGGAGTGTGTATTTGATATCAACGTCTGTTAGAAATAAGACAAATCCCATCATCTCTATCATGCATCACATGTGATAAAACATATTTTTGTAAGTTCATAAGGAAGAATTCCCAAGAGTCGATATCTTCCTTTTCAACAATTGCGAAGGCGATGGGAATAATTTTCTATTGTCGTCTTGTGCAACTGTCAATAACATTATTTGAGTATATCGATCATATAACTAAGTGTCGTCAATTTAAACAATCAGCTGCAGTGTCATAATTCATTAATGCATTGCGGAAAAGTCCAAAGAGCTAGTAGAATTGGAAAACACTTTGTACAACACGATCATTTTCGTACGTCAGGATTGTTTCTAATTTCACAATATTCCGAAATGTGTTTCTGCATCAGTTTAACCCATAGTCGTAATTCATTGTATGATTCCCCCATTGGCGAACAATTTTGTTGGGCCGATACCTTGCATACCATGCTTTGTGGTAGTCAACTGTGTACTCATATAGCGATGTAACTGAATCAATACAGATCGCAATCGTAACACGTGGATTTGATTGAGCAGGGGAATGAAGGCTTCAAAAAGCACGTGCACATCCAAGTTACAATGATCTTGATGATGTTGGTGGTGCATGTATGTGGTTGGACGTATTTTGTGAGTTTCCAAAGGTTGTTCATCGTCTTCAACCGTGATACACGAACCCTCCAATTACATATCTACTTCTTGTGGAGACATTTAGCGATGTACTTATCTACATCAGTTTTTTTCGCAGTTGACATGACGAAGCGACATATGTTGTGGTTCTTGATTGCGGCCACAACTTTTTCTTTGTTCTAAAACTCATTCGTAAAAAGAGTAATAAAATGTCAAGTTACCAATAAACAAATCAAATAAATAATAAAAATTAAACATATTTAACCTAAAAACCATTTCAACATATATATCACTATCACTACGTTGATGTATTGCTCAATGTGTGGGAATTGGGAAAATTATGGAGTGTTGAATGTTTCCATATCAATTGTTGTAAAGTGAAATGGTGGTTGGTAATAAGAAATAGGCGTTGCAGCATGTGAAACCATTGTAGTCGCGTTGTATTCTTCGTTATCTTCTGCTTTTGGTGGCATGTCAATGTATTCTGATTCTTCATAGAAGGGGTTTAACTCATCACCATCGGGGTCGGGCTCCCTTATTGGTTCTTCGTCCCCTCAAAGCTTATAGCTGCTGCAGGTGTTCGTCGATCACAAGATCGCTCACGAACCGGTTCCCCAATATCAACGTCACGCACACCAATAAAAGAATGTCTTCCCATATATATTGAGACATTATCCGCAGAAGGGATATATGTTGAATATCATCCTGCAAGATGCGAGTCAGTTAAAAACACTTGAAATTTATTTTGTTTCCAGTATCTCGCAGTTTGCAAGACGCGAGATTGCTACTAGCTTTTATCTTTTAAATTTCAAAATGTATTATAATTATAATATTAATTATTTATTAAATTTAATATTTTACACATAATTTTTATTATTTCAAAATTTATAAAATATATTATAATATTTTTATAAAATATCTATTTAATTACTATATTTTATATTATATATTTAATTATTTAGTATATTTAATAATATATTATTATTATATATTTATTTAATTTATATGTTTCAAATTAGGTTACTATATGGAATTCGAAAGAACATTACACTTTGCAGGCAGTGAGGTCTCTATAATATCGCGATATTTGTATCATAAAGTTACCTCATACTTCACAATACACGAAATCATTTTATCTAATTATTTTATTAATTTATATGAAAAGTGCACCACATTGGATGTATCCCACTTGTTGAAAAGTGTAAAGATTTAACGCAAACTGCAATGATGATTTGAAGATTGTTCTTACAAATTTTTTGAGGGTCTTATTTTTTAAATAAGTGTTTATTTCAGATTTTTTATATAAAATTACCAAGGAATAAAGGAGAAAGCCAATAAGTCGTGTATTGTGATCCCAAAGTTGATGAAGTCATCTGGATTACTTTAACGTGTCTTGTCCAAGGGTCCAGATTTTCTGGGGAACCAATGCTGATGGCCTGATTGATTAAAATCTTATCAGTATCAAATAAAGCAAAATAATGTCCCCTTGCTATCTATTTCTTAATCTAATGATGGGAGTTGTGACTTTTTCCTCTATTTCTTTTGGATTGTCCCATTACAATTATATCAATATATTGATGATTGTTTGCGAATTTACAACTATACCAATGCTGATGACTTGAGCTAGAAATTCTATTCACAATAAATGTGGTTAGCATATAATTATAATTTAGAATAAAATAAAATGTTAACTTTATAACTAATTTAGAAGGAAACGCATAATGAAAAGAGTCAGTAAATTGGAATGAAATTTAAAAAAAAAATCAAAATTAAATGATGGCAATAGAATTAGCTCAACATTATTACAATAATAATTCAATTCCTAATAGAACATTTAATTGTTAAGAATATATTAATAAATTGAAAATTTAATAATGTTATCAAGGATTGAATCCTTTGTTATTTAAAGCGAAATTAACATCGTCTGATAATTAGAAAATTAACATTATTGCAAACAAAAATTAGATATTTTAGTTTTTCAATTGGGTGAAAAGGGTACTGCACTTTATGGTTTTAGAATCAAATATGGAGACGGTAGACAATCCAATATGAAGAAACTATTTCGGTTTAAGTAATCGAATTCCAAGGGCAAATAACGGAACCACAAATCCACTGCAATTCTACCGATTTATATTGAAAAATTGCAGAGAAAGCAAACACAGTAAGGTGAACAAAAGCATAGATCCCCAATTCTAGACATTAAAAAACTGAGAAACAAACAAATCTAAGCCCTCTCGCCTCTAATCCTCCTAGCAAGCTGGATCCTTAGGCATATCGTCACCCTCTTCGCATGAATGGCACACAGATTAGTATCTTCGAAAAGTCCGACGAGATAAGCCTCGGCAGCTTCTTGAAGAGCAGCGACGGCGCTGCTTTGGAACCTCAAATCGGTTTTGAAATCTTGAGCGATTTCCCTCACAAGCCTCTGGAACGGAAGCTTTCGGATCAGGAGCTCGGTGCTCTTTTGGTATTTCCTGATTTCCCTCAGAGCCACAGTTCCTGGTCTGAAACGGTGCGGCTTCTTCACTCCTCCGGTCGCCGGAGCCGACTTCCTAGCGGCCTTCGTGGCTAGCTGCTTTCGTGGAGCTTTGCCGCCGGTTGACTTCCTAGCTGTTTGCTTGGTACGAGCCATTTGTGAAGAGGTTGAGGAAGAAAATAGATGTGTTTGGATTATGCGGAAGTTGTTGTAATTTAAAGGAAACTGATGTTCGCTTTGTGATTGGAGGGGCATATATTTCAAGGAGGATTTGGGAGAAGCGGGAAAAAGCAATTAAAAGGACTATTTTAAATTGTCCCAACATGAACGTAGATTGGAGAGACTATCGACGGTTGATAAGCTGTTGACGTACTGATCCTGTGTAATTGAAGTTAACCAATAGAATTCGTTCTTTTAAGCGGCATTGTTTTGAAGTTTGGCGATTTTAACATTTTTTTCTTTGGGATTATGAGAGTGAATCTAAACCGTACGTTGATTAAATACCTTTTTTCCTATTTTTTCGTTTAACCACCCATATTAATTTATTCATCCATTAATTTAAATCACATTTTATTATAGGGACGATACTCCCAACCCAATATACTATATTCATAAACGTTAGAATTTAAACCCTTAACTAGAGGTGATTAACGGATCACTCGGATCGAATCTAGATTATATTTGATTTAATTTTTTGGGTTGAATCGGATCTAATTCGGATGTAGTTCGTTGTATGTTAATCAAGTTATGTCAATTTTTAGGTGGGTCAACTTTCGGGTCGGGATTATCGAATATCAAATTAATATCAGATCGGTTGACTTTAGGTCGAGTTGATATCAAATCAATTAGATTTCATGTTGGGTCAATATCAGATTGGTTGATTTTCTGTTTGGTTCAACCTTTGGATCAGGTCAATTCGAGTTGAATTTGCTACAAATCAAATTAAGTATATATAAAATTATTGATATATAATTATAAAATATGTCTTATTGTTTGTTAATCTTATAATTTAGGTTTAATTCAGTTACAAGTCTAACGAAGTATATATAGATTTTTGGGTTGGATTACTTCGGATTTGGTTAAATTAGGTTCAGGTTGCTTTCGGTTTGGGTCAAATTGAATATGAGTTTCATACTAGGTCAACTAAATCTTGGATCGGGTATGGTTCGGGCTTCAAATCAAATTTGATCATCATGTTTGAGTTAATATATGGTATTGGGTCGGGTAAATAAGTTCGGGTAATCAAGTTCATGTCAAGTCTACCAGGTGTACTCTTAACCTTGCTTAAAGAACATATTCATGTTCACATGTTATTAAGCGGTGGTGATGTTGTGTTATGTGACGTTTAATAATTATAGTATGATATTAAAATAATAAATTTTTTTGGTTGTGCTCTCAGTTTTGTACTTTACCCTAATTAATTTAAATCAACTGCATCGTATGTTTGGTTTTTGTAAGTATCTCACAACGAGGATTTTCTGAATACACAATGTCTCAAACTCGATATATGCTTAAACGATATCAAACTGATTATTACTTGAACCAATCTCTTTGATAATGAAATAATAAATTTAACAATTATTTGTCAAATTCAATAATTTCAATAATTATTTTGTAATATTGTCATAATTATCTTATAATAATATGAAAATTTTAATAATTATTTTACAATTTAAAAAATTAATAACTAGAAAAATTATTTAATATCAGTTTGAATAAAATAAAATAAAAACAACTAATTAATGTTACAGATTTTTATAAATGTACATTGAAGAATAAGGTATAAAAAAATTATTTAATAATTATTAAAGAGCTTTTTCTTAAAAACGCTGAGTGTTTTTGTAATTAAGACTTTGTTTTCTATTCAAATCTTGGTTTACATTGGCAATGGTCGTACCTTTTTCCCATATGTATAGGATAAGGGGGAGGTAAGATAGTAGACTGTCCCAACACCAGGTTGAGAGCAATTTCCGTAAGAGACATCCGAAAGTATTGACAATTAACTAAATAATATAATAATAATAATAATAAAGTTACACATGACTAATTTAAAGTAGCACGAAAGTTATGTAAGGAAAAAAAAACATACAGACTTTCATTCTTCTTTTTTAAACAATATTAGATAATTTTAGCATACCCCTATCAATCCATAAAAATTTTACTTCAAGATTATCTAATATTATAAGATTATATCTCACGACGACGTGTATTAAATCTCCTCTCACGTGTTGATAACTATAATATGGATAATTTAACAATTTCAAATATTAAACCAAAAGAAACACACAGTATACTTTTGAAAATTTGAGCGCAACCTACTAAAAAATGTCTTCTCCCATTATGAGTGTCCATGTAATTATTCGATATTCATAATATATAACTTTTCTATGATAAAAAATATGCTCTTTCCTTTTTAAACTTATCTTTATTCTCTTTGAATCATCTAAAAATAATATTATGTTTAACAATCCTCCTTTATTTAAATTATAAGGTAAAGAGTGCAAATGATATTTGATTATATTTATTTTATTAAGTCAATCACTTATTAAAAGTTAAAAAATGATCATTCGATTTTGGAGTGTTGTTTTGTCGAGTCCCTCAACTATTAAAAGTTACAAAACGATCACCCGAATATTTATTATATTATAGACTAGTCCTTTTCATTAAAAAATTTGGCAGTTATTTAAGTTGAAGTTAATATGATGACTAAGATACGATAGTTGTTTGGAATTTTGATATCAATTTTATCATATTACAGTCAGAATATCATCAATTTCTTAATAGAAAACGAGTTTGGAACATAATGAATAGACGGGTGACCATTTTGTAACTTTTAATAGTTGAATGACTCAATAAAACAACACTCTATAGTCGAACGACCATTTTATAATTTTAATAGTCGACAATCTTAATAAAGTAAAATCCTATAATCTGAGGACCATTACATTCTTTACCCTAAATTATAATGGTGAGTAGTAATAAAAGAGGATTAAAAGTATCATTAAACTAAAATTAAAAGCGAAATTTGCATTGTGGGCGGCCAGGAACACACACGAGAACTGTTGAAGTCAAACTCAATTATTATAGAAAAATGTATAAACAAAGAAATGTGGCAATGCACTAACCACTAGTATATGTCGACAAACATAAGTTTGGAATTATTTGAAACGTGACAATTTTTTGTGAGCAACAAAACACTTGGAAATTGGAAGCCAATCAAAGTGTGGAAGCACAACAAGCAAATCACGCGACTAGAAGATCTTAGAAGCAAAGATATTTTGAAACACGACAATATATGAAGAAAATATGTCGTTTAAGTTTCCTATAAATATGAGGTTTTAGTTCCAAGTTAAGTATGAAATACAAGTAAGGAAAAGAGAGTATACGAGTGAAAAGAAAAATATTTGAGAGATTTGAAAAAGCTTAGAAAAGCTATTGGTAAGTTTGTAAACTAGCCGCAACCAGTATTGTAATATTGAGAGTGTCGTTGTAACATATTTTATTTTGTATCAATAAAAAGTTTGAGTGTTATAAATTACTGAGAGCCCATCTACGCTTCCAACAAGTGGCCTCAGAGCTTGGTTCGAGTTCAACGTGGTGGAGAAGATGGCCAACATGATTCAACCACAAATCTCGAGATTAACAAACACAAATTATGGTAATTGGAGCATTCAAATGAAGGCGTTATTAGGCTCCCAAGATTGTTGGGATATCATCGAGGATGGTTACACGAGCCTGAAAATACGTAGAAACAGCCTGGCCAATGAAGAAAAGAAGATATTGAAGGAATCCCGGAGAAAAGATAAAAGAGCATTGTTCTTTTTTTCAAGGAGTAGACGAATCTATCTTTGAAAAAGTTTTGATGCAAAGACCGTAAAACAAACGTGGGAGATTTTGCAAAAATCTCCACAAGGTGCCGAAAAAGCAAAAAACATGTACGCTTACAAACTCTCAGAGCTGAGTTTGAGATGTTAAAAATGAAAAATACAGAAAACATCGATGATTATATTAGCTGTGTGAAAGCGGTCGTGAATGAAATAAAAAGAAATGGTGAATCACTCAACGATGTTAGAGTGATGGAAAAAAAATTGCGGTCATTAACAAGAAAATTTGATTACGTGGTTGTGGCAATCGAAGAATCAAAAGATTTATCTCATATATCGATCGATGAGCTTGTGGGTCACTTCAAGCCCATGAGCAGAAAATGAAACAAATGAAGATTCTGAAAATCTGGAGCAAGCTCTACAAAGCAAGATGAATGTCAACGAAGGAGAAACTAGCAGCAGTTACACACGAGGTCGAGGAAATCGTGGTGGTTATCGTGGAAGATACAGAAGGATGAGGAACTCGTGGACGTGGTGGTTGATCATTTAGCACTGATAAAATGAGTGAAAACAATCCAACATCAGGCCCTGGAAGAGGATTCAGAGGCTGAGGTAGAGGTAGATATCAACAAGAAAATAAATTCCATGTACAATGTTATAATTACAATAAGTATGGTCATTATATTTATGATTGTAGATCTGCTCCTAAACAAGAAGAAAGAAATAACGTAGCAGCAGCTGAAGAAGAAAAAATTGAAAAATCTCATGTATTCCTCACTTATAAAGGAAATGAAGAATTCAAGAAAAATATTTAGTATCTTGATAATTGTGCTAGTAACCATATGTGTGGTCAAAAGGAACTATTTGTGAAATTAGATGAAACAGTCCATGGACAAGTAACGTTCGGAGATGACTCGCATGCAGAACTAAAAGGAAAAGGCAAAGTCATGATTACTCAGAGAAATGGATAAAAGAAATATATTTTAGATGTTTATTATGTACCTTCTTTGAAAAGCAATATTGTTGAAAACATTTTGATATTTCGATATAACAAAATTAAGTTAAATGAATTTTAAGATTTTCCAAATGATTTTCTAAGTATATTCGATATAATTATTCGAATATCAAAACATTACTCCAAATATTTCAAAAATCATTTTTAATCCTTACTTAAGTGTAAAATTAAGTTTTAATCTTAAAACAATTTCAAAATAATCTTTCAAAGTATTTCAAACCATTTCAAAGCCAAAAATTCCAGATTGCTCAAAGGGAACCGATTCCCCCCCCAAGGAGGTACCGATTCCCCCCTGAATGGTTTGGCTCCGAGATTTCCAGAATG